TCCCCAGGCAGCTATATAAATTTAACCAATTCCTTTATACATATAAACTGTATAATGAATTATGGATATAGCGAAGTAATTTCATAGGTCCCGGCGACTTCGTTATAACCGAGTTTCACTACAGTCATTAGAAACATTGAAATTTCATGATTAATACATAGGCGTTGGAACTGGGGGCTTACATTTCATAGGCATTGAAAATTGGGGGGTACCTTTTTTTGGTGGTTTTGTCCCACCACTTTTAATTACCCCCCGCCCCTACTTTCAATTTGCTTCCGACACGCCTATGTAATATAATCAAAATTGTAAAATTCAATTACCATTAACTGTCATTTCTACTTCCTTAGACAAAGCTTTGTCCAGGGACCTATATACTATCTATAGTATATAGGTCCCTGCTTTGTCTAAGGAAGTACAGGCAACTCTCTGTAACGTATCACTGACTTCGTCAGTTCTTTTCTTGAATAGACCGGAGCTAACAAATGGCAGGTTCAATGCTGTGATAAAGTTGTTAGCCTGTGTGGGCCCTATACCAGAGTGATGGATTGCTAAAAAAAGTAGATTATTACAAGCATATATGCACAGGTCTTGTACAATCACTAGATTTAGCTATAGCTTAAATTACCTATGTAGCTTTATTTACATGTACTACCCAAAATAACTTTATTAAGTTACCTTTACAGTAAATCATACTTTTTCTTGCATTTACATTTTTCTAAGAATACGCACAAAATTGCACTCTGCAGTGATAGAATATTCAACATTTAACTCATTTGAAAACAATTTGTGAAAAAAAAATCACCCTAGAATATGTTTATTTTTCTGCGCAATTACCGTCAACGTAAAAAAAATTGAGTCTATAAATTGCATAACTTGACCTACCTGTTGCCAGTTTGGAATTGACATCGAAAACAGGTGGTCCCCTATGCTTGTTAGGCACACGATGAACTTTCCCCATAGCGGCCCGCACATACCGGTAACAACTGTGGCATCTCAGAACTAAGTGGCCAGTTATCCCAGCGGGAAGTACACCAATAGCTTGTTTGAATTTTAGTTCCAGGTCACAGTAATTACACTTCATATTTTCAAAAAGACATTGCAAATCAACAACAAAACGCGTATGAGTAACAGATCTGAGTTTACCGGAAAAAAATGTGTCATTAACAAAATCAAATGAAGATGAAGCTGGAAACATGGAGTAAGAGTGATCTAAAGATGGGATTGTTGTGTTTTCAGCAACTGGTGGACAAGCAGATGAACATCCGTGTGGCAAAGAACTGGAACCGGACGGTGCGTTTGTCGGCAAGTCTGCATTACATGACTGAACAGCGTTTTTCCTACACATTCGTGCTTTAAAAATATTTTCTTGCTTACATTGTCGATTCCTTGCCTTCACCTCTTTAGCAAATAGTCCTCTGTATCTCATGGTCAGATCTTATAGTTCATATCGGTTATTTGACAGATGGTTTGACAGATGGTACGTTGTCGTCTGACGCAAGACGTAAACAGCGCCAGAAATTTAAAGGAATGTCGTAAAAATCGAAAATTGTAAGGAAAAAAATATAATAGTTTATAAGCATTGGACATTGTTTACTTTAAACCAATTTTTTGTATTGTATGCGTAATTTTTTTTTAATTAGCTAATTACGCATACTGGCAATCTCTTGGAAATCTACAACAAACGAAAACCATAATGCGCGCGACGATGCGCAAAGAGCGATAACTCGAACTATAGTCGGCCCCCTTAAGTCACCGGGGGTTTAAAAATGTTTCAAAGAAATGTTTTCATACTGAATGTTATTTCTCAAAATACATGAATTTCCGACCTTGACCTTTTAAACTTTTTAGGTCTTTTAAGACCAAGAGATTAATCTTATTCGTTTCTTTTCTCCTTATAAGAACTTTTTTGGCTCATTTTTATTTCAATTTCTTATTTATTTGATCTATTTTTTGTTCATTTTAATTTCAGTTATTTGTGTTTTCATATTTAAACATTTTTTTGGAATTAAAAAAAATAAAAAAAATACTTTATTTGAATTATAATCTTCCATATTAAATACCAAAATTGTGAATCTCAAATTCTAGATTAAAAAAATATAGAATAGGATGTCTTTGACTGAGCACAGCTCAACAATGTTTAAGGAAATCTTAGCTTCTATATTACTCCGTTGTTGTATTCATTAACGTGACAAAGATTTCACTGCGAAACAGGAAAATCATTCTTTGATTTGTCGAAGGTAGTAGCAAATAAAACAATAAGAGAGAAGAAGGCACAATTTCAAAAGAGACATACGGTAGGTAAAATAACTCATTTTTTGTAGGGTTTTGAGTTAATATTTAAGTATTTTGATAAAAGAAGAAAAGCAAGTCTAGATAAATCTAATGAAATGTAAGAAATCAATTTAAAACTTTTCTCTATCTTCGTTCATCCTGCTTGATATTACAAAATACTGGAATATAAAGTTGTCATGATAAAAATATAGGATATCCCTTGATTTGTAGAAGGATATGCATTTTATCCAAAGAATTGTGTGTTTTTTGTCCACGAGCTTTGATGATGGGCTAAAAAAAATCTTTTTATCCCATATTTAACACTTCACAACCAATGTACTACACTGTTTTCATATGGGCCTCCAATTTGTTTTACTTCATCACGCTAACGCAAAAACGATTTTGACGTTATAATTGCACTTAACTTTTGGAAATCAAAAATCTATCCAGTGAATCATGTTCACGGGATAAAGAGGTAAACATGGGATAAAAAACTATAAACAATACAGTTTGTCTTACTTTACGTCCCTTTCGGGAATTTTTTATTCATATAAAGAAGCCACCTCTGCAAGTTTACAAGGTACAGATTTTTACTTTAACGTGCCATTGAGCACCGAGGGATCGTTTTCGTGCCAACACCTTCTGTGAGACGGGACCTCAGTTTACAAGGTATAATCCGAAGGACCACTCTGTATCTCTAACAGTGGGATCTGCGACCTATGAAGATTGAATCTTGAGTCCGCTAGTGATGTCTACATGTAGGAAAGAAGAACTTAATTTTCACTACATTCAAAGTATAAATCATTAAAAGAAATTTCTGATAACATTGTTATTTATCAGTATCTTTTCTCCAATTAATTGAAATTGATTAATTAACTACAGCGAAGCTTCCGAAATCCGGGCGCTTCAGTATCTGAACAATGTTTCATGGGAACGCAATTGTTTAATGTTGTTTTGTCTTATTTAACTGGTATTTCAGGTGTCCGAACACTTAACATATCCAGCCAAATTGACTAGGAACCAAAGCCTCCGGAGAAATGAGGCTCAACTGTAAAACAGTAGAACACGTTTACTACGAACACAGATATAGCGAATTCACGGATATAACGAAGTCGTTCTGGGTCCCCGGCAAAATCTTAACAAATCTTTGTAAAATTTTACGGTTATAACGAACTCTGATATAACGAATTTACGGATATAGCGAACTGATTTTGAGTCCTTTTGAGATTAAATTTAATGAATTTTACATCTTTTTTAAAGAACTTTCAAAGATTTCAAAATTTGAATAATTGAACTGACTTTATTTTCTCTCAACATTTGTATATAAAATTCAATTCATAATAAAACTTTAGTTATCGAATGTATGTTTTCTAATATTTGCTTCCCTAACATATTTGATAGTAACACTAGAAGGAAAACATGCATATTGCGAACTCGATTTATATGGTTATACAAATTCCTTATACGCATATAACGGATTACGGATATAGCGAATTAAATTCACAGGTCCCCAGGACTTCGCTATAACCGTGTTTTACTGTAGTATCATACTATTTAATAATAAGGAGGTTGGGAGACATAAACACCACATGCAGGTGGTAAATAAATGTTACTACATACAATGTAAAAAAAGAAAATTGACCTTTTAAAAGCTGAAGTCATCTTTTTTATTCATACAGTTGAGTTCAGTTCTGTTTGCCATTATAATCACTACAACACCGAAATATAAAAATAAAGGTTTAGTTACAAGGAAGTATTAAGAAACCCGCAAGCAAGATTTTTAATAACAGGAAAAGATCACTGGGAAACTGGAAAACAGAACTTATTCATTCTTATAAATATCCATCATGAAGTAAATTTTTAAATTTCGTTTTTACGTAACAAATTGATCATGCACAAATAAAACAAATGAGAATTGAATATCCCGTAACGTGGATTAGTGTCCAATACTGTTAATTCCATAATGGATCCGCTTCCTGGATCCCAAGTTTTCATTGGCTGTTTAAAAATAGAATTGATCAAAGTCAGTACACATTGCAAAAAAAGGAAGTTGTGATGTTGATATACACGAAAAAATAACCATTATTTGGATTATTCTGTATATTGTTTTATGAATTAATGTCTTTCATAATTTTTTAAACATTTTTTTAAGTTCAGGTAAGTATTGTAAACAAGCTGATCAGATCATTTACTTAAATTAAGTGTGGGAGAGAAACACACCTGTACAATTACAAAGATCCTAAGGATTTGTAAATGTCTTCCCTAACACATTATTGTAGTTTAATGATTTCCTGAATGTTTATTCTGTAGATCATTGCATAAAAAATACACAAACGATGAAAGCAGGGAGGTTCTGAAGTTTAGTTTAAAACCGTCAAAATCAACGTAACATAGATCATTTGTGAACACAGTGCGTTAACTAAATCAACATGGATCGATTTTCATTTTTTTTAAATGCGAGACCTACGTTAATTTGAATAATTACCTGAATTATTGTCAATGTCTATGCTTGTAAGTTGCTATCCTGGCTTTTAGACTTTGAGGCTACAGGAATTAAAAATGACATATGCACGATACCTTCATTATGAAAGTAAATTACGTTTTAAGTCGAGAGAGAAAATAAAAATGCTCTGCCGTTGTTTGAGACCCTGTAAACAGGAAATTACAAAAGTAATTAATTGCTGAATTATAATTTCAGATTGTGAGTTGTCTTCTAGAAACAAAATGGCTTCTGGACCAGACCCTGGCGGTCGTTCTAGGTTTGCTAAACTCGGGATGGCAATTAACGAAGAATTGACCCAGGCCTGTAGAGATGTCTTAGAAATAGAGGTACCTCCTGGTCTTGTCTACAGCAAAGTGAAAGCATCATCGATTTATAAGAAAATACGCCCTGAACAAGAACTTCATCTTATAGGCGCCAAAATTGATGGTTATCAAGAAATTGATATAACATTGTTATATACACTGATAAGAAATATATGTATAAAGATTCCTCTTCCAACAAACGGTTGGGGTGGAAACACGATGCCGTCAGTAGGAGAAGTAACGATCGGCGATGACATTGAGAGGATACGATTGATAAGAAACAGCATGTTTGGACACATTAGCTCGGCTTCTACCTCACAGACAGAGTTTGATGACACGTGGTCAATCATAACTGATATCTGCCAAAGACTGCAAACGTACACAAAAAAAGACTACATGTCTGGACTGAATAATATTCAAAGTCAGGCTTTAGAAGAGGAGTACGAAACAACAGTCATAGAAAAACTCAGGGAAGATTATAAGAATAACCAGTCTTTAATGGTGAAGCTATCTTCTGTGGAAAAGGATTTGCAAGAATTGAAAAGAAAATCCGAAGACAAAGGTGACTATAATAAATAATGTCATTAAAATATTTACTACATACGATATGAGGCGGAGACTATTGTTTCACGCTTACATGACTAATACATTTCTCTATATTAGTAATGTGGAATATGTTTCCTTAAGATTCTTGCAATTTGAAAAATGTTGGCTAAGCAAGAAAATCTCCATGATACCTACGAGATGTCGGAAATATTGTGCAAACTATAATGATCGAATAATTGCAAAAATGTCTGTCTTGTTATCGGGGATAGAGCCTAAATATTTTTTTGAAATTCCATCTATGAAAATTCTCGATGTACACGGACTACAAAACGTAAGGCCTGCATATATATTATGGAAACTGAGACGCACCTTGAAGCCTTTTTTTTTAGGAAACCATGTTGTAATCATAGAGGAAGATTTTCTCCGCATATTTTCATAAACCGGTTGTAAAACTTAGTCTACCACTAGATATAGAGTCAAACTTTCCACGTTGTAGGTCTTTCACTTCATATAATCTTGTTTTAACATGTGCAACATTCACTCTAGATAAACCTTATACTAGTAGTTGCATTTATCAAAAGTCGTGGATGTTAGCTTATCCCTGACAGCCATTTCTCTTGTTGTATATTTTTAAGTTAACTAGAGTTAAAAAAAGATCAAATTTATCATGTTTGTAAGTTAACTATTTTTTTCCAAAGTGAATTCAAATTTTAAGTATAATAGGTCGAGTAACTGCATTTATGTCTATGTAAAACAATAGGCCGATTAACTGCATTTCTTTCTATGTAAAACACTTAAATTACCGTACGATATCTAAAAAAACTTATCTGCAATCCAATTTCATATTATTTTGTTTGCATTAGATAATAACCCCATACTCCATTTTTTTATATTATATGGCCTGAGAATCCTTTCCATCCATAGTTTTTATTTGTACTTCACCATAAACCACAACTTAAAGACAGTACATACATTCGTTTCTTTTTCTGAATACTTTAAATTACATACTTTCTTGTAGTAAATATATGTTGCATTCACTAAAAACAATGCAACAGTATTTTTCAATTCTTAATTCAGATTCAGATGAATTTAAGAGCACAATCTTAGTGGACAGTTACACAGTTTTACCAAAAAATACAATTTGATTTAACAATTTCTTATTTTCTGTTTTTATACTTATTATCTTAAAAAAATATCTTTTTTCAGAAAACACTCTGGTAAAAGAGATTCTGGACAATTGGCGAGAAGACGATGTTGCCTTCATTCCTACAAGAGCAAGTGAAGCGGTTCAAGAAAAGTTTGAAAGTCTTAACCTCATCACAGTGGTAGGAAATTCTGGATCCGGGAAATCTGCAATAATTCAACATATTGCACTAATTCTTAAAGAGAAGGGATGGAATGTCATACCGGTGGATAAGGTGGAAGAAATAAAAAATATCTGTTCAACCGGAGTCTCAGAAAATCGTATATTATTTGTATTAAATGATCCTTTAGGTAAGGAGTCGTTAGATGAAATTTTGTATCACTCGTGGAAACGTTTAGAGAAAACGCTGGAGATTTGCTTGAAAAAGAATAAACTATTGATATCATGTAGAAGGTGCGTCTTTAATGACAAGAGAATCAAGGGTAACTTATTAGATGACTCATCTGTAGTAGAAATTGACAACGAAAAAAATGGACTGACGATTGACGAGAAAAGAGCGATTTTAAATCAGTATTCACAGAATCTTCATTTATCCGAGGAGGTTGTTACTGAAATAATCAAAACAGAAGCTTACTTCCCATTGCTTTGTAAGCTTTATTCAAGGGAGGCGAACTACAAAGAAAAGGGTGTTGATTTCTTTAAAAATCCGTACAAATTTATTAAAAATGAAGTAGAAATTTGGAAGAAAACTGACAAGAAAAGATTTTGCTCACTTATCTTGATAGTGGCTTTTAAAAACAATTTGAAAATCGATGCTATTGTAAAAAATGATATTTGTTTGATGAAATTTAAAGAAATTTTAGGTATGTGTGAGTTACAAGAAAACATACATGTATCAGTCATTCGTAGTACTCTACATGAACTGAAAGGATCTTATGTCAAACGTGTCGGAAATGCTTTCCAATTCCTTCACGACTTTATTATGGAGATAACGACTCTGGTGTTTGGTGTTGATTGTCCACAAGAGACAATACAGTACGCAGACAGTGGTTTTCTGAGACGTCGGGTGATGATAGAAGACGATACAGAAAAGGAAGATCGCGATCCCTTCACTGTTTACCTTCCTGAAGAATACATTGATGATCTTGTGGACAGGTTTATCATTGACATGCAAACAGAACACCTTGTAGATGTTCTACTCAATCCATGTTTAAGGAAAGAGTGCGTCATCAACTCTTTTAAGGAAAAAGTGGATTCGCGCGAAAAGCTTCTTGTAAAAATTAAATGTGAATTAGATAGATCGGAATTTCAAAAATTAATTGAAAGATCTTTTTTCACAAGACTTGATTTCCTTTATTCATTCAAAAGTGAAATATGTCCTTTAGTCGGATTTATTGTATTTTGTCATACTGACATTTCTTTATTTTTCATGAAAAGTATACCTGAAACAAAGTTGAAAGAACATCCTATATTTTCTGCTATATGTGCGAATGGTGATTTAAACCTATTAAATTCTCTCAGTGAAGAATATGAAAAATCAGGAATGATGGAAATATGGGATGACCTTTTACCAATTCATGTTGCTTCGATTTTTCATAATTTTTCAACACTTGAAGAGTTAGTAAGACTTGGTGCTGACGTTAACAAGTTAACAAAAGATGGATGGTGGAGTCCGTTATTACTCGCTGCTGCAAATGATGAAGATCATATCAAAGAAGCCGGAATCGAAACAAAAACTGGAGAGAGACGTAAGAACACAATTATTTGCTTATTGAACAACGGTGATGAAATCAATTCATATGATACTGAGAACAGAGACAGTCCTCTTTCTATGGCTTGTTATAGGGGACGTGATAGCACGGTACAACTGTTACTGAACAACGGTGCCGACATCAATTTATGTGAGAAGAATGGAGCCAGTCCTCTTCATGTAGCTTGTCATGATGGACATGATAGCACGGTACAACTGTTACTGAACAACGGTGCCGACATCAATTTATGTGAGAAGAATGGAGCCAGTCCTCTTTATATAGCTTGTCAAAATGGACATGATATCACGGTACAACTGTTACTGAACAACGGTGCCGACATCAATTTATGTGATAATGATGGAGACAGTCCTCTTTATATAGCTTGTCAAAATGGACATGATAGCACGGTACAACTGTTACTGAACAACGGTGCCAACATCAATTTATGTAACAAGAATGGGATCAGTCCTCTTTATATAGCTTGTCAAAATGGACGTGATAGCACGGTACAACTGTTACTGAACAACGGTGCCGACATCAATTTATGTGAGAAGAATGGAGCCATTCCTCTTCATGTAGCTTGTCATGATGGACATGATAGCACTGTACAACTGTTACTGAACAACGGTGCCGACATCAATTTATGTGAGAAGAATGGAGCCAGTCCTCTTCACGTAGCTTGTCATGATGGACATGATAGCACGGTACAACTGTTACTGAACAACGGTGCCGACATCAATTTATTTAACAAGAATGGGATCAGTCCTCTTTATATAGCTTGTCATAATGGACATGAGAGCACGGTACAACTGTCACTGAACAACGGTGCCGACATCAATTTATGTGATAATGATGGAGACAGTCCTCTTTGGATAGCTTGTCAAAATGGACATGATAGCACGGTACAACTGTTACTGAACAACGGTGCCGACATCAATTTATGTAACAAGAATGGGAACAGTCCTCTTTGGATAGCTTGTCAAAATGGACATGATAGCACGGTACAACTGTTACTGAACAACGGTGCCGACATCAATTTATGTGACAAGAATGGGAACAGTCCTCTTTGGATAGCTTGTCAAAATGGACATGATAGCACGGTACAACTGTTACTGAACAACGGTGCCGACATCAATTTATGTAACAAGAATGGAGTTAGTCCTCTTTATATAGCTTGTGAAACTGGACATGATAGCACGGTACAACTGTCACTGAACAACGGTGCCGACATCAATTTATGTGATAATGATGGAGACAGTCCTCTTTGGATAGCTTGTCATAATGGACATGATAGCACGGTACAACTGTTACTGAACAACGGTGCCGACATCAATTTATGTAACAAGAATGGAGCCAGTCCTCTTTCTATAGCTTGTCAAAATAGACACGATAGCACGGCACAACTGTTACTGAACAACGGTGCTGACATCAATTTCCGTAACAAGAATGGAGCCAGTCCTCTTTCTATAGCTTGTCAAAATGGACATGATAGCACGGTACAATTGTTACTGAACAACGGTGCTGACATTAATTTATGTGATAAAGATGTAAACAGTCCTCTTTGGATAGCTTGCGAAAACTCACATTGCAGCACAATCGAACTTCTATCAAATTCAGGTGCTGATGTCAATCTATGCAATAAAGGTCACTGCAGTCCGTTGTACCTAGCATGTCTCCACGGTGATGACAGAATGGTTAAACTTTTATTGAACAAAGGTGCCGATATTAATTTATGTGACAACGAGAGAAACAGTCCACTCTACATAGCCTGTGAAAACGGACATTACAGCACGGTCGAATTATTGTTATTAAGAAATGATACTTGCATTAATTTATGCAATAAAGACAATAAGAGTCCACTGTACATAGCAAATTTATATGGTCATGACAGTATCGCTGAACTTTTACTACAGTATGGTGCTGAGTTTTTATTCTGAAGATGGATTCAGTGGTTTCCCAATACCAAGTGCGTTCACATTATTTTTGAGATATGGAGCTTAAAAAAAATTAGCTTTGATTAGAGCTTGCAAAAATGAGTGGGATACTATAATATAGATTTTAAATAATTTGTATTATCAATTACAGGTATCAATATTTATTTTCATTTATATGTCGACTTGCTATTTCCTAGTGAATCTGAAATCGAAGACACCACAGAATCTGTTACTTCTGTTTCATGTTCGAATGTTCGGAGAATTATATTATATTTTTAGATTGCATTGTTAGCAAAAATAACCTTTCATGAATGGGTTAAACAGACCAAGTGATAGACTGTTTTGTACTTAATTTGGCAAAGGAACGTTGCCTCTATCCATCGGAAAAAACATGGCGAATATGACCGATCAAAAGGGTATGTTTTCTCATTTTGGGCACCTGAGTCTACTCCTGGAGTGCTTCGGATTCGTGTTTTATGTATGGTTTACAGATATTTATTGCTTTTAAAAATTTGTGTGGATTGATCTTTGTTTCTTTTAATTTTAGTGATTACTGCCGTACTGTTAATCACCAAAGATTCTGTGACAACAAATTTTTTTTTTAGATGGATATTCGTATGTAAAAGCGAGATAGATGTATTGTACTTTAAAATAATTTTTTCTAAAGTTCGTTTTATTGTTCATTTTTAATAATAATTCTTTTATATGCAAGAATATTTTTTTTGTAAGAAAACACAAAAAAGTTCTTTTGAATAAAAAGTATACGTATTTGCAGTAATTTATTAAGCTTACTTATTTTTTAATGTCATATGGCTTTCTTTATTTTATTGTACTACTGCTATTTAAAGGTCTAAGTTATCAATAAAATTCAGTCTAATAAAACGTCTTGTTTCAAGAGAGCAAAGTCATGCGGCTACATAAAACTTTTAAACCAGGAAGGGAGCAGTCTGTTATTTGATATAAAGCTAAAACATTGCACTGTGTTTCTGTAATATTCAAATTTATTCTGTGAGACGGGTAATGATTCTTTATTTGCGTGTAATTAAGGGTTTCATTTATCTTAACCCTATACAGGCGACACATGAGTTCGAACTGTTATGTTTACAACATACAGTTATATTCTGTTGATTAATCAAAATTCGTTTGGACCAATTTTTTTTATTGTATAAACTTTAAGATTTTAAGATTTTAAGATTTTATGTTCGGGGGGGGATGAATATCAAATATTGCTTAATATGTACAAATCTTCGCGGCAAGTGTTTTTGTCAAGTCCGTCTTCTATTTATATTTACTTTTCAGTAAGATTTTCACAACTATGCATGCTCTTTTGTCTCACCGATAAAACATATATATGCATCTAGATACTTTTATTATGAGATATCTTTATTGTTGCCTTATATGTTTCTCCCGATCATGACAAAAAGCACAAAGCAGATGTGACCGGTCGGCAGCGTTATCTCCATATAATTCATGATATGACGCATATCTTTCACAGTTATAAAGAAAAAAAAAACAAGTTGTTCACTATAACTGCTGATCTGTAGCTTTCCGAAAAATTATTTTGACAGACCGGAGAGCTACAGTGCCATCATTGTTAAAACTGCATGTTTATTGCGTACAAAAAGTTACGCTTAGTTTTAGAGTAATTCTTCTAAATTTTAACTTCAATTGCAAAGAAGATAGATTCAAAAATATTCTTGACTCCTCTGTGAAGAGCTCTCGTAGTTGACATCTGCGCGAAGTGTGTTGGACAGATTTATCTTGCAAACCAAAATACAAGTATAAACAGACGAAATTTTCGATGATCTAGATTTCAGGGTCAGGAAGGATATTAACAACAATTATAGGAAATATTTTGTTATGAAAACAGTGAAAGAATATGTTACAAACACACGGTTAGTAATATTTTTAGGTGACAGTTAAAAAACATGGAGAAATAAAACGAGAAACGGAGCGCATATTTGTGCGCAATAAATATGCCCATACACTTTTTCAATACCGGGTTGGTACTGTACATATTTCTACGGTCTTTCAATATATTTTTTCGGAGAGCTAACGAACGGTAGCAACATACTGTATGTCACACCTTGCTGATCTAAAAGAAATAAGGACAAATGATAGGCATTTTTTCTGACCAGCGAGCTACAGATCTGCAGCTACAGTTTCTGCAATGTATTTCTTTATTTACACTTTTGATTAAAGTGGAATATAAACAATATAATATACATTTTCAAATATCTTTTAAAATTTAATATATGGAATATTTTGAATTAATAATAATGACTTTCAAATCTTATCGTTGAGACATTGTGCTCTTAATTTGATAAAAATATTGTAAAACAAAAATATTTGCTGGATGATAATGCGATTCTCTTGCTCTCTCTCTCTCCTAGATTATTTTATTTTATTCTATTTATCTAAGGAAGTTGAAGTACAATGGGTTGTTCATAATTATACCATCCGGATAATAACCGACATTGTTCAACTATTACAATCGTTAAGCGCGACACCTATCGGAAAAAGTATTAATGGCCTCTTAAACTTCGTCTACAACTTAGAAAACAGACACAAGTCGTTAGAAATGACAGACGACGAAAGAATACACAAATTTAAAGCTGGTTAACAAAAGATGCATTTCAATTATTGATTATCATTTAATTTTTAAAGCATGTTTCTTTCACGAAACACAAGAATCCCCCAGTGTTTACTTGCTATCTGTTTGGTCCATCGTGGCGCTCTTTGCTACATCCTGAAGTCGGTGTGTGATGAAGCAGGGAAACTTTTTTTCCCATCAGAACGTCAGTTTTTGATTAAGCCTTACTTATCTAAATGCTTTAATTCTTTATTTGAACGAGATACGGGATACGAACTTTCATTTTGACACAGTAAGCTTTATACATTGTAATCACATGGTAATCTTCGTATTAAAATATCTTCAGGCGAAGTGATAGGTGTGAGTGGTGATTACATATAAGCCTCCCAGTGGAGAACTTTTTAAAAGAATCCTGGATATAAGTAATAAAAACTGAAAAAAAATGTGGGCCTAGAAATTATCAAAAACTATATTTATGAAAAGTATCAATGTAACGGCTGGTGTCTGTGCACTCTGTGATTTGTTTTTGGTTTCCTCAAAACACGTCTGCGTTAGTTTTTATCAGCCAATGAGCGAGGCCCTTTACCTTACTGGTCACCTGTCTGTATATTGAGGATCAGGCAGACAAACCAGTCTAAAGTGAAATCGCCATTTTCCCCTGTCATTTGCGGCCATTATGTCTAATCACGTGACCTGATCTGGAGTCGGCTCATTACCGATATTTGTAACTAATGTAAATAATTTGTCAAGCGGTGCAGAATCGTGACTTAAAAATAAACAAATGGTCCTTATTGAATACAAATCGCAGCTAGGATAAGGCTGCCCGTAAAATATAAAACTGTTCAAACTGTAGTAACTTCTCTGAACTACCTAGATATGACGTCATAATAGAATATGACGTCAAGTCACTACATACTTGAGCTGACATGACGGGGAAAGTGTCATAATTATTACACGGCATGTAGATTTACTATGGGGATATGTGTTTATTTTAAGAGTAAGGGTCGTTTTTATGCTCGTGTGTGCTGTTATAATGTTTAACATTTGATATTTAAATGTCTCCATTCCTTTTGCTTGTCCGATATGCATATATTCAAGCAATAGTAAAAGATTATGTTTGAGACGCTCCCCTTACACTTCCGTAGACAGAGTTAGAATTAATGAATCGCGTTTATACTGGACTGGCACAAGTGAAAGACAAGGATAAATTGAAGATATTCTGCGTGAATCTAAAAGAGAAGTATGTCATCTAACTGAATTTTGCTGGGGGATCTTATGTAGTTTATCCGTTTTTGTATAAATCGCGATAAAGAGTGGAAAATACCCCTTCTTACGTTGGTAATTTTAATTTATCGTAATATATTTTCTTAAGAAGTAAAAATGAAACCTGCCCCCAGCACTTTTTATGAAGCAGGGATCACGATGAAATGATCTATGTAACAAACTTTGCACAATATTTTCGTTTTGCACTTGTGCCGAGGTGATTTTTATGCAACATATAAGGATTTCAAAAATGTCCGTATAGTGATCAACACAGTCATCTGACATCAAAGAAATGCTTTATTATATTACCTGATTAAACTATTATTTCAAGTTGACTGTAATTTCAAACAAGGATCAAATATTAATGTAAAATTAAGCTCAAAATAAAATGTATATTTTTAAGACATTTTAAGCCTTCGGACAGCCTTATCATAACTGCGATACTAACTGAGTACGTCTGACAGTTACTTGTCTGTTTTTTATACAACAATCCACATACATGTATTTTAAAAAAATATATATGTACAGAAGTTAATTTTACAAATCAAGTTCGGATGAAATAATATTTGATTGATTTTCTTCATCGCATGAAATATTCATTCTTTACACAAGAAAATTTTTCTTTGCTTTGATGTGGCATAAAGCTTTTACCTTAAGATACAATATACAAATATTTTATTAAATTCCTGGGATTCAATGAATTTTGCTTGAATTCATCCACAAAAGTAATGTAGAATTAAAAAAAAAACTTAAAAGTGAGGTCACTTATGTCCAACGCCAAACTTTCTTGTATATTTTGTAGTGAAATAAATAATATAGACACAAATAAACTGGCATATTTGTATAAATAAATTCCTTTAAAAAGATGAACATCTTTTCAAAGGTCACTCCCCTATAAAGGTCACTTTTAATGCATCCTGTAGGTGACTGCTTAATACAGGTTTGACTGTAATTATGGAAAGCAATGGTGCCTCTCTCATTTTATTATAGACCAGTGATTAGCTTTACGATACATGTAATAAAACAGACAGAAAAGAAAATATGAAATCGGAAGAGGATATGTTAATGATAAATCTCTATCAGGTGAACTCATACAAATATTATCTGACATTTAATTTTTTTTTTAAATATATATTCATTTTCATTCTTAATACTCTCTGTTTAAATTTTACATAACAAACATTTGACAATATGACTATTACATTTTATTGA